GACTTGTCCATTTGTATGGGGGAATTGCCATCAGTAGAGCACGAGGGCGATGCTCCCACCGCAGCTAGGTGCTGCGGGTTCCCCGGCTCGGCTGCAGAAGTTTTGCTGGGATTCCCAGAAGGCATTTTTCCTCAGCGGGGGGAAGATGCGGCCGTTCCGGTGTTGCTGACGATGCTGCGTTTCGTCTCTCGGACCGCCCTGCATCTCGGGGGCTGAGCAAGGTGTCCTCTCTCCTCTTCTGGCCGCCTCCTCCCTGGGAGCCTCTTAAATGTTGGCTCTGAACTGAGACCAGCTTTTTTTTTTTCCTAGGTAGTCAGAAAGCTTGCTCACCTACAGAGCTGCAACTGGAGATAATTACAGTCTGTATCAAGTGAGAAACAAAACACGTTTTATAGCTCTCTTGTTTTCCCCTGGGGGATTTTGCCACCATTTGAGAATTTTGTATCCCTTTTTTTTTGTTATTTTTTTTTAAATAAAGTTCCTTAGGGAAGCGAGAGGGAGAGCCTGCGTCCTGGGATGTGCCAGATCTCCCGGAGCGCTTTGCCGGAGGGAGGCGAGTCAGGATGATCTGGTTTGCGATGCCAGATGAAGATGTGCCGTCGTGCCCGTTGCCTCCCGTCCTTCAGGTGTGACTTGAGCACACCCGTGTTGTCTGGTGCCGCTGAACGGCATCGCTCAGCGTGCATCCATTTAACGTGGCCCTATTGCTCTCTGATTAACGAGGCTGGTTTCTTCTGAAAAGTGGCTCAAATTCCGAGGGGGGAGGGAGATCTGCTCTTGCTTAGTTTATAATCCCAGATTGCTGATAAAGAGGAGATGCTCCGCAGCCAGTCCTTGTTCACGAGTCAAACCCGAGAGGTTTAATCTCTGCCCTTCGTCTGGGTTACTGCGACACAGAGCAGGGCCAGTACTGAAGTTCCTGACTGTCTGACCTTCAGACTCACTGAATAGCCCGTGGTTGAAAGAATTCCTGCTCTTTTCTGCTCATTTTTAGATGAAGTCGAGTGCTCTCCCCTGGCTTGCCCGGTTCTGCAGTCGAGGTGCTCTGGAAATTCCCAGGGCTCCCAGGAAAGCTGCAGTTTTTCCCCTCCCCTTCGCCCTCCTCGCAGCTGAGTGTTAACGCTGAAGGGCCCCATTCAATAAAGAATCCGAAGCCTAATTTAATTTTTATTGAATCTGGCTGAAAGCATGTGCTCCTTACCAAGCCTGGAAAGCCTCCTCTTGAAGGGATTAAATAGTCGTGGTACCTGTTTCTGATAACAGTGCTTTTGATTTGTTTCTAGTACCGAAGCCACTTACGTTAAAGGGGAGGGCATTTTGAAACCCTTCAGATACCATCTACTCGTGTCTCTGCAAGCAGGGGTTTCATTCATGGTCTGCTCAGTCTTCCCCTCCTGCGGTGAGTGGATGTGCTAAATGATGCTGCCGAAATCCCGCTGACTGGTGGCCATCGAGTCCTGGCGGCTGGTGTGGTGTTTCTGCAGTGTTTGTTGGCCAAAAGCTTGATTTCCTACCCGGTGCGTTCCCCTTCTGCAGCCCGAGACGGCGTTTCCTTAGCTTTCCAAAAGACAAACTGCTTGTCCTCCAGCTCCGTGCTAGCGGGTGACGGCAAAGCTGGAAAATCACAGGGATGCTGTGGTGCTTGGGGATGTGGTATCGCTCTTGCGATGGAGCAGGATGGGTCCACGTAGGTGAGGGACACCCAAAAACCCGCTTTGGCGATGGGCCCGGTAGGTCTCTGGGCCTCCTGCAGGGAAGGGGAGGCAGAAGGAGACCACCTGCCTCGCAGAGAGGCCGACCAAAAGGTTTGTTCTCCTTTCGTACCACCCGTGTCTCCTTTGTGGCCGTGGTGGTAGACCCTGGCTGCTGCCGACTCCGTCGCTTGGCACAGATCCTGCCGGTGCCTCCGTCGCTGGCTTCGTTTTGTGCTCCGACTCCGATGGGAGCGTGGCAATAACGCTCCTCATCGCCTGCGTGCCTGCAGACGAGGCTTTACAGCCTCCTTCTGCTCGCAGTTGCGCAGAGGCAGCCCAGCTCCACACCAGCAGTTACTGGTGGCAATTTCTTCTCTTTTCCCGTGTCGCAGTTCAAAGGGACAGCGGCTGTCGTGGGTCTTTAAAGGAAACACGCGTCTCCGCTTGCATTTTGTGGCGGTGCTTTGGCTTGCTTAAATAACTGCCTGCGAAGGGGTATGGCTCGATCTGAAACCTCATCAGAGCCCAGCAGCTCTCCCTTTGGGTACGCTGCTTTTTTTTTTTGGTCCATGCCAGGTTTGCTGGATGTGGCACCTTGAGGTGCAGATGACACCTTTCGTATTTTTTAAAACGGGCAAGTTTTTACCATGTTCTGATGGTTTTCCTCGCGCAGGTACATCTCACCACCCTTCTGAAGGCTGGTAGAAGACCACTGTGCACTCAGGAAGCCTGAACCTCCTTTGTGCGCTCTAGTATCGTTTTATTTTTCTCCTTGCAAGCAATGTTACAGCTGCATTTGTCTTGGTGTCAGAACACATGACGTGCGGTATCCACGTGCGTGAAGCAGCGCAAGGTTTTTGAGTACCGAGATGTAATTCAGTGAAATTGCTTCAGATTGCTTATCAGTCAAGGTGGCAGCAGCTCTCCTATGCTCCGTGTGTGTTGTTTTGGGGGTTTTTAAGCGATATATTCAGTTTACGTATCAGTGTGGAGCTCGTTTCATAGGGACGAAGCGGCTTCCCAGTAGGGAAGAACCTGGAGGATGGGTTGACCACACCGAGGGTGGGTGCCACTACCTAGGGATGCTTTTTTAACGTGTCCTCAAGCAAACACCGAAGCGACGGCTGGTTAGAAAGTGCCCCTGCACCCTCCCCGTGCGTCAGCCTTTGTCTCCCTCCTCCTCCTCCTCGCTCTCTTTCATCTCCCACGAGTACGAAGTGGAGGAAGCAGCCGTGGAGGCCCTTTCATGGCTGAGTTAATTGGAGCTCGGCGCTTTCCCAGCGGCCGGATCCAGACAGCAGCGCTGGGTGCGGTGAGGCTTCTCACTATCCCATGGTGTCTTAAATAACCCACCGCCACTCACGGCTTCAATTTTAACCTGGGGTCACTTCTTAGGGATGGGGGTGGAGAGCAGCATTTCATGTGTCTTCCTTGGCTTGCCCGTGCTTGCCTTTCTATATTTGGTTGCAGCAGACGTGCATTTTCCTGCAGAGAGACTAGACCGTCAAGTAGAAAGAAGTCTAAGGTGCTCACCCTGAACACGGCAGCCTCTTGGAGATCGGGCTGTGCCAGAGGCTTGGTCGGACTTTTTTTTCTTTTGCCTTGCAGATTTGCATTTGTTTTCTTGCTGCCTGCCACGACTGCACCCCTGTTTTTAAGAGTAAGGTTTCTCTAGCACGGTTCGTACCCTTGGAACCGTATTGATGCTGTAGTTGAACTTGTGTGACAGCTGTACTTCAGAAGATGTGTAATTATCGGGGATTTAGAACTGAGCCAGAACAACATTTTCCTGGCAGAAATTTGGCTTGGCGCAGCTTTATCTCGTGAGTGACTTGGAGCCGGGTTTAGGAAGCTCCACCTGAAGCGAGCGTGGAGGAGCAGAGGTGCCCGAGATTCAGCTGCTTTGGCCTCGTCTTTCAGCTCAGAGCACGCAGACCTTATTAACCAGCCCCTGCGAGCTGCTGGCGTGCGCAGCGAAAAAACCTATTGGCGTTCTTGAGACAGCTGTGTTAATTCTGACTTATTCCCTGGTGGTTTTTCATCATCCCCAGCCCCGGTCTGCACGTCAGTAGGTAAAGACCTCACCGAGCTGGTCTTTCCTTGTTTGCAGGTGGAGCTCCCTTGGCTTGCTTTTTTTGTTGTAGCTGGTTTCTTATCAGCCTGGGAGCAGAGAGATGGGGTGGGGATGGGCTCTGCGGCTCCTTCCCCTTTTTTTACTGCATCTGTTTGCCATGGGGCATTTTTGCACCTGGAGGAGAGGCAGGCGGGCGGCTGGGGAAGATGGAGAGCGAGCGTGGGTGGAGATGCTCTTGTGTGCGCCTTCGTCCTTTGAGTGCGAAGGTGCCTCGTGTTCCTCGCCGACTAACAGGGCGACTTTGCCCGAGAACGTAGAAAGAGCAGGAAAATCTGCGTGGTAGGGGATTTTCTGTATTTTGAAAGCTTGCTAGCGAACCCGGTGTGCTGTGGCATTCATACGGATAGCAGGGGGCTGAAACCATGCCTCGGGTCCCCTCAAAAAACAAAAGTCCACGGCACGAAGCCTGCGAATGAAGCCTTACAAAAACTAAGGCTGGGCACACGTAGTGCGAGAAGGAGCTAAGCTGCCCTCGCTGTGTCCCTGGATGACTCGAGTGTTTGCCGGCTCCCCTTTCTAGTAAATCTTGTCAAGTCGCAGACGGCGGTGGTTTAATGCTGAATGAGGGATTGTGCCCTCGTTCTCAAGGGCTTCGGGGTGCTCTCGCTCATCGGGTGAGTGCGGTTCCTTCTGCTTGGGAAATTCCCGCCTGGCTGGTTTAGGATCGGGACGAAAAGCGTGCGGCACTGCTGCCGGCAGGTCACCGCATGCAGGCGCATGGGAGGTCGGTGCTCCCCGCGGGGGGAGGCTGGGCTCGGAGGTCCCCGCCGGCCCCGGGGGAGTTAAGCTGGGTCTGCCACAACCGTTTTCTGTTTGCCATGAATACTGATTGTGTCCTTATGTCAACCTCTGTCCTGCAGGATGGACAGAATGACAGAAGATGCTCTGCGCCTGAACCTTTTGAAACGGAGCTTGGACCAAGCAGATGATCGGGATGATGTCCTGGCAAAGAGATTGAAAATGGAAGGACATGAGGCAATGGAGCGCCTGAAGATGCTGGCACTGCTGAAGAGGAAAGACCTCTCGGGCATCGAGGTGCCCCATGAGCTCCCGGTGAAACAGGATGGTGTGAAAGTCTATGAAGAAAAGCTGAATGGGAGCCTTAGGCCCCATGGGGATGGCAGGACTGCAGGGAGGCCAGGGAAGGAAAACATTAACGATGAGCCGGTGGATATGAGTGCGAGGAGAAGGTAGGTGCCAAACGACTAGCGTCTGTAGCTTGCCTGTTGTTAATCCTGTGCTCTGCAGATGTGAGAACCCAAGTCAGAAATTAAATCGACATTTTGCGGTCCTGGGGGAGTCTTCCCGGTGTCTGCAAGGTCCCTTTGGCTGAACGCCGAGGAGAGGAGCCTGCTCTCCCAGCAGAGTTTCTCTGGAAGGCATTCAGCACCGTTCTTTCATTGTTTTTGCTTCTGCTGCCCTTCTTATTCCACCCCAAAACCAGATGGATTTTGTTTCATCCTCCATCCATACGTTTAGTATTCTAAGCTACAACCGTCGGGTGGCTGGCAGAGCAGACCCTGCCGGTGCGCGCGGAGGAGGAGGAGGGCTTCCCCTCCAGCCAGGACTTTTTATTAGCACCTACAAAAGTGGCAGCAGAAGTCCTTTATTTAGCTGGAGGCCAGGTCTGATGCAAGTGGCATGGACAAGTTGCTCTCGAACCTGACCCTGGCCAGGCTAGTGCCTCTGCGAGGAAGAAGTAAATGGTTTTTCCTGCT